CGTAATTGTTACGTTTTCCCCTTGTTGCAGCCACTGTCAATCCATTTCCTTGAGGGTAGCTTCCACTTTTTTGCTGCCAAACCTGTGTTGTCGTTTTTCCAGGGACTGGTCTTTTCTGATAGCATGTCCAAATTATGTGAGGTGAAGTCTCACCATCTTCACTTGTGAGGAACATTCTCGCTGAACATCTTCCAGGACAGATTTGTTTGTTCTTTTAGCAGTCCATAGTACTTTCAGTATTTTTGCCAGCACCCAATTCAATTGTATCAAAAAAAATTTCCCCTACTCTTATTCATTGTCCAGCTTTCACATGCTTGTAAGGCATTTGAGAATTCCCTAGTTTGGACCATGCACACTTTGGCCATTGAAGTCACATTCTTGCTCTTGTGTAACATATTTGTGTGAAATAATTTATCATTTCTTGACTATGCTTCTGTGTTCATTGCTTGTGGATCCAATAAATCTTTGACAGTTTAGTCTTTCCTCTTTATCACGATGTTGTCTATTGGTCCAGTTGTGAGGATTTTGGTTTTATTTTTTTATTATTTTTAAAATTTTGGTTTTCTTTACATTGAATTGTCATACATAATGAAGGCTGCATTTTAAATTTTATCAGCAAGTGGTTCACAACCTTTTTTGGTTTTAGCAAGCAAAGTTGTGTCTCCTGCTTATCAATGACATGCTCCGATTTTAATGACATGCTTTTTTTCTTAGAGTTTACCTTGAATTATATTGCTCAGCACAGAAATTGAAGAGGTCTAATATAGGGTGTAAGGCTGATGCAAAACTTTCCTGATTTTAAACCATGCGGTATTACCTTGATGTGTTCAAACAACAGCCTTATGGTCTGTGTATAAGTTCCTCATGAGTACAGTGAAGTGTTCTGGAATTCACATTCTTCTTAATGTGAACCACAAAGTCAAATGCAGTTACATAGTAAAACACAAGTAGGCATCTTTATGGTATTACCTGCTTTTGGCAAGGATCCATCTAGTATGAGCAATGATATCCCTTGTTGCACATCCTCTTTTGAATCTAGCTTGAATGCTTGGGAGCTGCTTATTGAGGTACTGCTACAACCAATTTTGAGTGATCTGCAGTATTTTGGTGATATTAATGATAATTGGTTAATTATTTCCATTTTCTGTTTTGACATTTCTTTGGAATGGGTTTAAATATGAATAACAATAGTTGGCCAGATACCTGTTTTCCAAGTTTCTTGGCTTCTGATGAGTGCTTCAACAACTTGCTGAAACCTCTCAGTTGGGGGGAACCTATTACAAGGATATACATGTGACCTCCTCCCTGGGGGGGACGGACAACAGAAAAGTGGGTGAAGGGAGACATCGGACAGGGAAAGATATGACAAAATAATAATTTTTGAATTATCAAGGGCTCATGAGGGAGGGGGCACCAGGGAGGGAAGGGAAAAAAAGCTGGTGCTAGGGGCTTAGGTGGAGAGCAAATGTTTTGAGAATGATGAAGGCAGTGAATGTACAGATGTGTGCTTTACACAATTGATGTATGTATGGATTGTGATAAGAGTTGTATGAGCCCCTAATAAAACAGTTGGAAAAAAAAGAAACCTCTCAGTTGGTATTTCATCAATTCTTGGAGCTTTGTGTTTTGTTATGCTTTCAGTGTAGCTTGGCTTCTTCCTGAGTACCATTGTTTCTTGGCTATGTGCTGCTTCTGGAAATGGTTTAATGTTGACCACTTTTTAGTCCAGGGACTCTATATATTCCTTCCATAATCTTTTGTTATTTCTAACATAATTCAGTATTTTCCCCTTGTAATCTTTCAGTATTTTGCCATGAGGCTGGAATTTTTCCTTCAATTCTTTCAGCTTGAGTTAACGCTGAGCCTGTCGTTGTTGGTTTTGTCACTCCAGGTCTTTGCCTGCTTCATTATAGTACTCTGCTTTGTCTTCTGTAGCTTCCCTAGGAAATTTTCTGTTTAGCTGTTTTTTTTGTTTTTTAAAACATTTTATTAGGGGCTCATACAACTGTTATCGCAATCCATACACACATCAATTGTGTAAAGCACATTTGTCCATCAGTCTCAAAACATTTTCTCTCCACTTAAACCCCTGACATTAGGTCCTCATTTTTCCCCTCCCTCCCCACTCCCTCCTCCCTCATGAGCCATTGATAGTTCATAAATTGTTATTTTGTCATATCTTGCCCTGTCCGACGTCTCCCTTCACCCACTTTTCAGTTGTCCGTCCCCCAGGGAGGAGGTCACATACAGTTCCTTGTAATCAGTTCCCTCTTTCCTACCCATTCTCCCTTTACCCACCCTGTTTCGCCACTCACGCGCTGGTCCTGTAGGGCTCATCCACCTTGGATTCCCTGTATTTTCAGTTCCTATCTGTACCAGTGTACATCCTCTGGTCTAGCCAGACTTGCAAGGTCGAATTCGAGTCATGGTAGTGGGAGTGG